TGTCAGGCAGTGTCCTCTAACACAGTTTACACAAGAGTTAGGAACTGCTTCATCCCTATACTTAAATAAAACTCCAGAACTAAATTGAAACAACTTTTTTTATAAAAGGCCAGAACCTCATCAGCACTGAAATACCTTATTTAATGCAGTCTAAGAAACACAAAATCAGCTGCTCTACTTGAAGCTTTGTGTTTGGCTTTTTGAAGTGGGAGAGAGTTTTCTCACAGAGCATTTGTGCAGTTGGAAAAATCTGCTTTGAAAAAAATCCCAGGATCACTACCAGAGGTGGGATTCACCAGGTTTGCACCTATTCTATAGAACCGATTAGGAGGAAATCTCCCATACCTTATGGTTCTTTGATGAACCACAGAACAATCTCTTTAAGAAGGGTCACTATTATTCCTGTAGTACAGTGGGATCTCGACTTACAAACGGCTCGACATACGAACGTTTCGACTTACGAACCGCTCTCATAGGAATATATGGACTCGACTTACGAACTTAGATTCGAGTTATGAACTCTCTTTTTTTCCTTTTTTTTTAAAGCTAGTCATCTTAGGTTATAAGGAAAAAAGAAAAAATACCCCCTCTAGTGGCAGAAGGAGGAATAGCAGCTTCCCATTAGTTTCTATGGACAAAAAGAGCAGATACGGATTAAATGGTTTTCAATGCATTTCTATGGGAAATGAAGATTCGACTTAAGAACTTTTCGACCTGAGAACTGCCTTCCAATACGGATTAAGTTCGTAAGTCGAGACCCCACTGTACAGGTGTGTGGTTGGATTCAGATATGGTGGCTTGATAGGACCCACTAGTAAATTAGTTGCAGAGGCAAGAGTCTTAACTGCGGCAGGAGTGGCCAAGGGGACAATTTTGCCTCCCCCAAGGCCCACTGCATGCTGGATCCTGCTATCACTTTTCTACCCAGTGTAGTGGCACCAAAGTGTGTCTCTGTGTTTCCCCCTAGCAAAGTGCACTAGGCACTTAAAGCAGGGGTGGGCAAATAATGGACCTCCGTACATCACCTCCCATCAGCAGTAACCAGCCCAAGCAGTGGTGAGGAATGCTGGGAGCTATAGTTCAAGAACTTCTGGATGGCTGCGTTTTGCCCATACTAAAGTAAAAGCAAACCTTTAGAGCAAGTCATTTCCAAACTGACATCATAATTTCTGCAGCAAACTCTTAAAAGCCTAGGACAGGAAACATACAAAAACATTTGCTTGCTTTGAATGCAGTTTTCCTGGTCTGATTTTGCGTGGCGCTTACATTGTGCACGTTTTTCAATTCTACACTGAAGTTGGCTGTTACGATGTGCCCTTGCTATGCTGTATCTCATGAGAAAGAAGCCAACGCAATCAGCTGGTGAAATGTATGCATTTTTTATAGGGCATGAGGTATGCTCTGCCTAATTAGTGTCTAGAAGGCACATCACGGGGGCCTCTAATTAAAATAAATATGCATTTAGTCACCCTTCATTTCTGATTTTCCACATGTGCTAACCAAATCCACCATCATGAGTTTCTCTAACGTCACTGAGTATTGGATTGATAAATTGTTTCTCAAGGGTTCTGGGAAGATATATTTAAAGTATGTCGTTTATAAAGTTCCAAACAAGATGTTAAGATGTCTCCGTTATACAATCAGGGGAGAAATTCTCCATTGTGTCAGAACTTACTCATCGGCACACAGCACCATTATTTCTAATTAGAGGGCTGGGAATACCATTCCAGCGTCTTGATTGTCGGAAACCATTTCATGGTGCTGTATAACTATGGAAAAACAAAATGCCTTTAGGATTAGAGATTGTAGAGAAGGGACCGCTCTAATTTGTCTTTGTGTAGCCAAATAGGGATACTTATTCATAAGCATCTCAAGTATGTACACATGCTTAACAGCAATTCTAGTCTTAACCAAAATGTTTTGTGATTTCAGTTTTGTTCCCTATGATTATAGCCCAGCTATTTTTCTGATGACACACAGAAAACATGTGCCACCACTCAAAACCACTCTGCGTTAATATTTACTTTTTATGAAGACCCTGAGAAAATACTTTAAATAAAGCAAGTACCATTAAGAGTAACAGTGAAAATATGAATGTGATCTGAATGTATGATAATCTACTCAGATTCTGAGGTTGAAATTTACTTCTCTCTTATTTCTATATGTGTTTTAATGATTACATTGCTCTACCCCTACCAAATGAAATTTCTTTGGATTTCTTTTAACAGGGAAAAAAAACACACATCTTGGCAAATGCCAAATTTTTTACTGGAGCAGAGTGGTGTTGCTAACGATGTTACAGTTATCACAGTGTCAGTCTTTCCATTGTAAATCCCATTTTCAGAATTTTACAGCTCAGTTGTAAAAGCATGCCTCAGGTTGAAACTTGGCAAGTCAGGCTTCTATGCGGGACTGAGACTTTTTACATCTGATGTTGGGTTCCCTCCCCCAATTACATTGAAACCATTCCATGTAATTACAATCTTATAAAGATTACGAGAGTGGCAGTGGTTAGAGCTGCTCTGAAGTATTGTAACAATATCCACACTACTTCACGTGATCTGAGCCAGCCTCCCATAACATTCCTGACTTGTGATCTCTTCAGTCCACCCTGTGGCATAGCTGCTTTGTAAATGGAACACTGCATGCAACAAATCCTGCCATGGAGCAAAAGACAAGGCACCAATGGCTTCCACACAGACCATCCCCTCATGTCTGCTGCCATTCTTATAATTTCTGTGATAGGTGTGTGCTTGCTATCAGGGTAGCATCCTTATTTCATTGTAATAATGTTGGATAATCTTTTGGTTCCAGAAACTTTCATGGGGGCCAAGGTAAATTTATTTATTTATTTATTTATTTATTTATTTTTTATTTTTTATTTTTTATTTTATTTTATTTTATTTATATCCCCCCTATCTGGTCGGTTAAGACCACTCTAACATCAAATCCTAGCCTTATGATCATGTCTGCAAAGAATGCTCCCAAAATTGATGTCTACATGTCACATCCCGGGTCTAGTCTTGGTGCTCACATATAAAACTCTCCACAGTTTGGGAGTCGGTTACTTGGTGGAGCACCTTTCCCCAAGATCATGTACCTTTGTCATCAGGTCTGCTCAGGCAAATCTGTTCTGGGTGGTCATGCCAAAGGAGGCCAAGAAAATGTTAACCAAAAGATGGGCCTTTTCAGCAGTGGCTCCTATCCTTTGGAACTGACTCCCAGTTGAGCTACACTGGCTTCTTCCCTACCTACATTTAAGAGACTTCTGAAAACGGTGCTCTTTAGAGATGCACTCAATGGCAGCCTCATATGATTATTCTTTGCCACTGGCCTACCATTCATTTATGAAGTGGTGCACCAACTTGCTTTCAAATTTGATATGTTTACCTTACTCTTGTTTACTTTTGTTGTTTGGTTTACTGTCTGTCTGTTTTTGTTCAGCTTGTTCATTGCCCAGAATAGTGCAGAAGCTCATTTTTAATGCATGTATCCTTTCCTCCCATCATCCAGTTTATCACATCCACTTATTTCCTCTGATCTACTTTTTTCTCCAAACATCCAGATGATCACAAATAAGCATTAAAGAATGTAAGTCAGTGTTGTTGCTATTGCAGAGACATCTAGCTGTGGGCTCTTTGGGGTCTTTTTTTAAATATGGGAAAGAGTTTGCTGAAATTCCTTTTCTCTCTCTTTTTTTTGGAGACTGCAGCTCTCAGAACCCATCACCTAACATGGTCCTTGTTTGTTTGTTTATTTGTTTAAACTTACATTTTGCACATTTACCAGACAAGTTACTATTCTAGGCAGCTTCGAAAAAACATGAGTATACAAATTTTTATATACTTTTTGTATATTTTTGTATAGAACTTTTTAAATGAACATATTAAAAACGAATGAACAAGCAAACAAAAACCCTCATAAAACCTTCAGTATAGAAAACAATCCAAGTCTCAGAGTGGTGAACCATGGCCAAGCATGAACTTACTACAAAATTAATGTTACAAAAAGGCCTGGGTAAAAAGCCAGGATTTAGCTTGCTTCCAAAAGCTCAGGTGGGTGGAGGCCAATTGCACCTCCACAGGAAGAGAGTTCCAAAGTGGAGATGCCACCACTGAGAAGACCCGGTTTCTGATTCATGACTGGTTGAGAACCCTTCTCAAGCTCTGCATATGAGCCAGGGTGAGTTAACAGACTGTTGGACTGGCAGTAGAAGGATTAAGGTTCTAGACTCCATGGGGCCATGAAATTCACTGGGTGTCTTTGAGCCTCTTTTTTGCTCTTTCATCTGACCTATCTCACAGCATTATTGTTAAGTGTACCAATTGTGAGAGGAAGAGAATTACGTGCATCACCTCAAACTCCCTTCACAAAAATCTGGATAAGAGTATAACTAAAATAAGTAAGCAAATGTAGACCCAGTCTATTTGTTAAACTTAGTCTCACTTCTGGATGTGTGGTAGCTGTACTCCAGATAGTCCTCCCCTTCTTCCGGTTGCTCCGAGAGTGTCTTGAGTGTGTCTTGTGAAGAGAAAATATAAACTGTTCTGGAAAACAGGAAGCTGCACCACTTTATGCATCTAGTTTTGCTCTGTCACCAGGGGGAGAAGTTATCTGGGATTCAGGCAGCCAAATTTCCAGCCAAACTGGAGATGCTAGGATCTATTGTATGGAAAGCACCTGCCCTATCTCTGTCTTCTGCTGTAAACTGGGATCTAAAGGTATATATCCCACCACAGCAAAGAGCCAGTGTCATCCAACCATTGTTTACTGCCTGATTTTCAATCTCTGTGTTCATACTGACGAACAGCTGCAGTAGCAATGACCTATCCAAGTACTGTAATCTTTGGTCAAGAAACAAAAATACCCAATAAAGCATGTAAACAGCATGACCCCTAATACACTAGCCATATAATTTCATAATCTATGATGCTGAGCTGTCCTGAGGAAGCATTGACCATTTTCCCTTCATCTTTTAATGTCTCTGTTTCTGCAGCGGCCTTTGAGTCCTTGCTTCGCTTTGCTGAAAACCACACGACTTCTCTGTTCGAGACGGTCTACAGATCCATGTCTAAGGAAGTGGAAGAGCCAGTCAAGGAGCTCTTTACGGACATCTCTCTCTACCTCCTGGGTGCCCAGACCAGAGTGGAAAGAGCTTTCTTCCGCTTTTTCGACAGCCTCTTCCCGTTGGTTTACAGCCGCCTAATAAACCCAGGAATTACAGATTTGTCTGAAGAGTACACAGAATGTTTGCGCCTAACACGGCAAGATATAAATCCGTTTGGACGCTATTCTAAAGAAGCGGTCGCCGAGCTGACCAAGTCTCTCAGGGCAAGCAGAATGTTCAACCAGGCCCTTGGGATGGGCATTGAAGTGCTGAATGCTACTGAGCATACTATTTTGACAAAGGAATGTACCAGAGCATTAGTGAAGATGCAGTATTGCCCTCATTGTCAAGGTCTAACACTAATAAGGCCATGTGAAGGATATTGTCTCAATGTAATGAGGGGTTGTTTTGCCAGTGTATCTGAACTGGATGCTTCATGGAGGGAATATATTTATACCCTGGAATATCTCACAAATGAAATGGCGGGAGCTCATGATCTAGAATTGGTGCTTTTGGGTATTCGGTATACAATCAACGAGGCCATCTTGTATGCTCAGCTGAATGGACCACAGCTGTCTGCCACTGTAAGTATTGTTTTCTGTCCATGGATTCCTGTTACTACTCTTAATCATTGGTGTTTGTTTGTTTGTATATTTGGGCACTGGATAGTGGTTTATTCTGACTTAGGCCAATGATAGTTTTGGACAAAGCCATCTTCTGTTCTCCACCCACCTGTCCTTATCCACTGTCCCTAAGTGGAAAATTCACTAAAATAATTTGTTTTGAGTGGGAATGAGAAGATTCCTTGTGAAAGAATTGTAGTGTGGCTCTGGGTTTCTTGAGTTGTAGACATTCCACCCTCTTTTGAACCTCAACAAGAGTATCCATAGGAATTCCTCCAGGGCAAGGAGTGCAGAGCTATGTAGTGTTGTTCTAATATTAATCATGTGCATAGTATGTTCCACTGCAAAATAGTGTCCTAAATTTTATTGGGTTAGTACTCCAGAATAAGCGAAATCATGTTAGTGACAGCAGAAAACTCCAGTCAACAAGGTGACATTGTCAGTCATTGTTCTCATGGATGCACCTTCTGACTGTGCTGATTGGCTGTTTTAATCTTTTGTGCCCTTCTCCATGATTTAAATGTGTGTTTCAATATATTGCGATGCTGTGCCTCCAAGTATGTAAATCTTTCAGCCTGAGACATCAGACATGTCTGGTCTAACAAAGTGATGCTGTCTGTCAAATGATCATTGCAAAACATAAACAAGCAAATTTCCCATTGCAGAGGCAATCAGATGTCAGAATAAATAGATGGAAAATTTCCTGTCTGACAGACAGACCTTTGTGCATTTCTTCAGCAGTTCAGTAAGTGAGGCTCCAAGCATCCTCTATTGTACTAAGCAGTTGAGTTTTTAGGATTCTGTGTAGGGTTCCAGCTTTGACCTCTAATTTTGGATTCTGGTGGGAAAGCCATATAACTCTGATTTTTACAAGATGCTTTTGGTTGTGACTTTCAGTGGTCTATAGTCACAACCTGCTGCACTTGCAGGGAGGCTGGGAGAGCACTGAAGGTGTGCACTATGGGATCTAGCAGGAGGAAAGAAAGTGGAGAGAGAAGAGAGAAGGAGAAGGTTTTGAATTTCCAAATGGTATGCAGAAGCATTGTCTGGCATCCCAGCATCTGAGCTGCCCATTTCCAGCCACCTCTTCGCACTGTAAGAAGAACAAAAGCAAAAACCCATAACCATTGTACAAAGCTTGCTGGATGTTTAAAGAAGGAGCTTTGGAGCCCTTATCCTACCCATCATGCCATTTGTTTCTTTCTAGCAGCTATCTAAGAAGTAGCTGCTAAAGTTTGCAATCTGGCTGGGAAAGTAATTGTGATCACATTAAATGAAGGAGACCATTATAGCTGATCTAGAAGTGACTTGATTTGGAAGTGGGGTGCAAATTAATTAAATAATGTATTTTGCCGATTTCGATAGGAAATTAATTGGTTAACTTTCTGTAACATTTAAATACCGGCTTCAAATTTTAAATTTTGGATCTGTGTCTACACATGCACATTTTTAATTGTCCTTTTGGCGATACTTGTCTTCTTTTATGGTGCTGCATAAGAGGCCAATCTATTCCTGAGAGTTTACTTGCTGGATAGCTCAGTGGTTTATATTTGTAACTTCGGAGCCAGAGTTTGGAAGTTTGATTCCGCACTGTGCCTCCTTGAGAGGTGCAGGACTGGGTGACCCATAGGGTCCTTTCCAGCTCTGCAGTTCTAAGATGACAAGGATGATGGCAATCATTTCAAGGTCTCAGGTTTTGCTTGTTTGTCTAAAACATATTATGCTTCCTTTATCTCAGACAAAGTACTGAAGCTGATTATCAATGTTTTTGTCTATAATTAAGTGATATTGTGAATTGATATAGTTTTCACAGGCGTTTTTTAAAATACTTTCCCCAAGACTAATAATGAAGAGTTCAGAAATTTTGTTTGGAGGATGTGTAAAGGAAGCAATAAAAAGAGTATTAATAGAACTTGTTAAAAATGTAATAATTTTAAATTAAGAAAATTATTCAAACATACAGAATGTTTATTTTACTTTAAATAGGGCTACATAATAAATTACATATGAATATATAAGCTGACAAGTCCTAAGTGAAAGACTGAAGTCCAGGCCAGAAATTACTTACTTAGCTGGTTATATGCAGCTGGCTATGTTTGTGTGAAATATAGCATTGTTATCAGCATATCTGCATGGCAGTTTGGCTCACAACAAGAATAAGGCTGATACAGAATAGTGCAAAGAAAAATAAATCACATGGATCTGAAAGTGTAAAGTCCTTGTTAAACCTTGTGACTATTCTACTGTTTTTGGAGTATGAAAACACTGGACAACTTGTAGAACTAAAATAAAAATGGAAATGTGGTAGGGTCTAAGGGGTTGGTAGGGACGTGGTAGCGCTGTGGGTTAAACTGCAGAAGCCTCTTTGCTGCAGGGTCAGAAGACCAGCAGTTGTAAGATCGAATTCACGCGACGGAGGGAGCTCCTATCACTTGTCCCAGCTCCTGCCAACCTAGCAGTTCAAAAGCATGTAAAAATGCGAGTAGCTAAATAGGTACCACCTCAGTGGGAAGGTAATGGCATTCCGTGTCTAGTTGCGCTGGCTACGTGACCAAGGAAACTGTCTCCGGACAAATGCTTGTTCTATGGCTTGGAGACATGGATGAGTACCACGTCTTAGAGTCGGACACGACTGGACTAAATGTCAAGGGGAACCTTTTTTTAAGGGGTTGGTACATAGAAAGTAGCATGCTGTAGACTTGAAAATGTTCCATGTTTAAGTCAAAATCCTATTGCAAAATATTGTTCACTGAACAGTTTGGGTTTTGCAGTCTGCTGGCTTTCAGTTGCACAGACATTCACATGTCAAGTTCCTGTGCATAGAGGAATATGAATTATGTGCCAGCCAATCTGTGAAATGCCTCCTGTTGCTTACATAGTTGCTATTATATGGTTGCATGAGGGAACATAATACATTAATTATTTCTTTAATTCATTAATTAGATTTCCTACCCTTCCTTTCTCTGACTGTAGAGAACTGAAACAACCAGTTTAACAGAGGGTTGGCATATATGTATTTACAGCTGGGGCATCTTGAAAGACAGCAAAAATATCCATTGTTTAATTTACAGTATTTACTCTCAGGAGATGCATTTATGAGGTCTGCTGGTTCAAGTGCTAAATAACATGGCTGGTTTAGGTTTGGGTTTCGTCGTTGTGCTTCTTGACAAGTACGGGGGTGTACAAGAAATTTGCAGCTCTGCATAAGGCAGGAAAATATATTTCTGTCTCAGGAATGTGTGACTTTCTTCTATGAAATTTAGTTCTGAAAGAAACTGACCACCTGGTATTATTAAGCAGTAAATAAGGCAGTTATGGAAAATGTCTTCAAATAAAAGACCCCCCTGCTGGTCATTTTTCATGTACCCTGAGGCAACCTTTATTAACAGCCATACATGCTTTTTAGGAAACAGTTAACATTTTTTAAATAGCTGGGCAAAGGCTGTGCATTAACATAAAGAATTTCTTTTAGCTAATTGAGTCTTTGGCAGTGAATAATGGAAACTTGGCTATTTTTACATTGTTGGGGAAGAAGGTTAAGTAAAGCATTTACTGAGCTTAATAGAAGTACTCCCCACACTTGCAAGGAAGAAAGGGAAAAGGAGCCAGTGCTTTATGTTGAACTTCCAGAGTAACCTGTAGTGATATTTTCCATTTAAGCCAAGGAAAACTGCCTAAATTACCTGCCTGGTATGTGCAAAGGGTTGCCATTAAGATATTAAACTACTCCTGATCTGTGTGCATTTCTCTGTGACGCACTCTGTCATTTGTTCAATGATGCTGGCTTCTACCCAACTACTTCAGCTAATGTAGGCCCTCCACTGTCTGCAGCATCAGCAATCACAGCCATTACTTTCAGTTTCATCAGCTGGAATCTAATTGTGTGTCATTCTGAAAGAAGGCCAGCATGCTCTATGGTGCCAGATAGGTTGACTTTGCCTCTTGACCCTTACTGTCACTCTGGGGTGTTTTAGATTCTCCTCCTCTTTGCACTTGTGTTCTGAAGGCTGGTAGACTTTGTCCATAATTTATTATATGACAGCATACTAGTTTAACACAGGGATGTTGGCAAGTCTTTGGGTCAGAGATCCAAATCTGATACCAAGCCACAAGTCCCAAGCCCCAAGTTTGAGTCCTAATTAAAAAACAAGCTTTTTTTCCAAAGAAAAAAAAAGGGAGAGATGAGTTCTGAGTGACGAGTTGAGTCTGAGTCATTAAAAAAAAAAACCAAGTCAAGTCAATGGTGCAAGTTAAGTGCAACTTGATGGCACATCCTACGACTTGAGTCCCCATCCTTGGTTGCACATTTCCAATTCTTCTTTTTTCATGATATTCCCCCCATCCCTTTCCTAAGGATCAGGAATGGGAGATAAATGATGTTCTTCAGGAAATACAAAACAAGCTTGTATGTTGATATTCATGCATGTCACAATGAAGAGGGTTTTGGCTTCTTTCCTGTCATCTGTAATGTGTGAGAATGTAGCTATCATAGGACATAATAGGGGTGGGGGGAATCACATATATTTTGGCCAATGTTAGCTTTGCATTTGCATTTTTTACTGATGGGGGGAAGCACTGTAAGTCTTGAATGGAAGGAGTGGTGCAATCAGATGGGGAAATAGATCTCGTTTTGAACCACTTGTGGCACAGTCCAGTGCAATTATTGCCCAATGATCAGAAAATGTAGGACAGTAGCTCTCCAACCTGACCCCAGTTGGTGCCCAAGCTGGAAGTTTCTCGTTCAGCAGCAGGACTACTCTTTTTTGGGGACCATGCTGGCGCAGTTCAGAGATGGATGGAAGAGTTGCAAGCGCAGTTGCTCTGGCAAAGTGACCCTTTTCTGTTCAATCAGATACAATCTTTTCTTGCCGTAAAAGTAGAACTAAGATTGTGCTTTTCTAGCTTACTAAAACCACTAAGAGAAATAATGCAAGAAAATAAATGCACGTGGGGAGGGGTTA